AGTGCATTTGAGGTTGGTTTTAAAACATATAAATTTTTTTACTTTTTGAAAATTTTTTTTGGCAGTGATATGCAAATGAGTAACCTTTCTTGAAATTTAATTGTTTTATGTGAATCTGCAGACAATTTTCAAACATTTGTCATCTATTAACAGTTGACAAATTTGTAAATTGAGGAACAGGTTCACATTGTTGAATGTCCAATTCCCTATTGATGGATTATGAGTAGATTCATTGACCAGCAATAATTACCGATATTAACGACTAGTTTAGATCTATTCTCTGTAAAATTAGGATGCACATCGATGTCTCTATGGCAACTAACTCTGTTTGAAGTGTTTGATGAACTGGAAAAATTTAATCGAGGCATAACTGATCCTATTATAAACAGTTGATTTGTATTTTGTTGCTCAGTGGTAATCCCCTGGCTTGTTCTAATTGTTTATGTTTAGCATTTTTAATCTGGCTGACTGATGAATGAATGCAATTGTATGGATGTCTCGAAACTAACTAGAAAATAATTGAACATTTTAAAAAAATTACTCCACGTTTTTTAACATTTTACAAAATGGAATGTCCCATCAAAGAAATGACAAATACAAATGAGAGGTATCTGAACATGTTCTCTTGGAAACAATGACCTTGTAATTTTCCTTTACAATTGAATCCTACTTTGGTGGCTTTCCTGGAATATCAGCAAAATGCATATAATTGAGGTTCTACATTTATGTACCCTAAGTTTTTTCTTTGGAATTCAACGGTCCTACTACTCGTGGGAGTGTCCGGGCAGCAATCCTTGTACTGTATAATATTAGTTTATGCTCAAAATTTGAAACAGAGTGGCAAATTTGAGCAGCTATCCACACTTTTTATGATCGACGTTAGGTATTCCCCCCTGTTCGCTTCTGCGCGTGCCCGGACACTCCCACGCGTGTCCGCGTGTTAAGTAGTAGGACCCTAATTCAAAATATCTACTCCCAAAAAATAATTTATAAGTTTCAGAAAATTTCTGTTCTAGAGTATTTTAGCCACTACCATGCTTGATCTTTTTTGTCATTAACCAATCACAGCATGTGTTACAAATTGCCTGTTTTTTGAAACACGTTTTGTGATTAGTCAAGAGTTAAATATTTAAAAATATGTACAAAGAATTGCAAGAACATTGTGAGATTCAATTCCAAATCCCTGAAGAGAAAGAAAGAATAAAGAAAAGAAAAAAAAAAAAAAAAAGAAAGAAAGACAGACAGACAGACAGACAGATAGATCCATTGATTTTCTCTTGAAGTCAACTTTCATGTTGATCACATTCTGACTTGTTTCCACCTGACCAGCCAGGGAGTGAACAATGTGTGTGTGTTTGCTATTTAGAAAAGTCAGTCGATGTAACTGACCTGTTTATATTGAAATATTTATTAGTCATGTGACTGGCAACACTTACTGAAGCATACAGTGAAAGGCTGTCATCAAACCATCTCTACTAAATATTTTATTATACTGACATATGGTACTGGGTTTGATGTTCATAATAGTGAAATTAATTTGAATACATATTTTGTTAATAGTCTGATAATTTGACAAAGTTTTGAAATTTTGTTTCGGCATTTCACAAGTTACCTCAGTAAACGGTATACCCTGACTACTCCATGAAGTCGCTGTCTGCTGCTACGAAACGTTTTCATTTTTTATGACTAGCGAAATTTTATTCCTTTTGTGAAAATAAATTGGCAGGATAATTTATAAACATCCCCAATGTTTTAAATTGTCTGAATGTTATCACACTGTGTTATGGTAGTCTGTGTAAGGTTTACTATACGTGTAGGTGTGAAAACAGGGCTTCATGGGAAAATAAGTATTTGGGGGCCAAAAAATATAACTTTTCAACCATAGATTTGTTTGTAAAAATTGTCATGATTTAAAAACATGTTTCATCGTGTGATAACACGCAGAATGTTTAGCTACATGCCTTATCAGGAAAATATTTAATGAGTTTCTGTAAACTACTAAAAGTCCTTTATTAAGGTTAAATTTTTCGTCGTAATAAAACGTTAAACATGGTAGGCAAAATACTTGTGTTGGTACATGTATGTATTTGCTGGGTGTGACGTTTATATTGTATAGTATATTAGAAGTACATATACTTACTGTATTTATTATCATCAATTTACTGGTAACTGTTAAATTTCCACTGCTAGAAATTTTAGGCAATTTCATGATTTCATGGCATTTGGGAAGATAAAATTTCACGGAAGTCACTGACGAGTCGTGTCAGTTGTCCCCCCCAAAAATGTTCAATGCTACAAAATTCTGCGGTCTTTACAAAATCAATTAGAATTTGACTCTCACATGATGACTGTGGTTTACAGTATGTGCTTTATTAGTAGCACTTGTACCTGCTTACAGTAAATAGCAGAATGTCTATCGTCAAAATATGTTGCATTTTAACTGTTTCAACATCAGACTTTCTCGTCCAAATTTTTCTGCACTTTTTTCTTATATTCTTCACTATTTCTTAAAATTTAACTCTAATTTTGGAGCCAACAGACAAAATTTTGGTCAACTTGCAGTTTCTTACTCAAAAAATTTGGTCTTTTTTTACCAATCTGCTGAAGGAAACTATAAAACTGACTATTTTTTGAATTTCTGGTTTCCTCAGGTTGCTGAGCCCCAGTTACTTACAAGTGCTCGTTTTAATGACAACTTTTACACACCTGCAAAGTAGATATTTGTGTAGTGTTGCTGTGCAATGTGTTTGTTTTGTATTCACTGTGTTCCGGTCCCTATGCAGATTTTTTTTCCTGTTATCAATAGCTAACGTGGGTTTTCACCCAATGGCTAACATCGGTTTTCACCCAATGGCTAACATGGGTTTTCACCCAATGGCTAACATGGGTTTTTACCCGATGGCTAACATGGGTTTTTACCCGATGGCTAACATGGGGTTTCACCCAATGGCTAACATGGGTTTTTACCCGATGGCTAACATGCGGTTTCACCCAATGGCTAACATGGGTTTTTACCCAATGGCTAACATGGGGTTTCACCCAATGGCTAACATGGGTTTTTACCCAATGGCTAACATGGGTTTTTACCCAATGGCTAACATGGGGTTTTCACCCAATAGCTAACATGGGTTTTCACCCAATGGCTAACATGGGGTTTCACCCAATGGCTAACATGGGTTTTTACCCAATGGCTAACATGGGTTTTTACCCAATGGCTAACATGGGTTTTTACCCGATGGCTAACATGGGGTTTCACCCAATGGCTAACATGGGTTTTTACCCAATGGCTAACATGGGGTTTCACCCAATGGCTAACATGGGTTTTTACCCAATGGCTAACATGGGTTTTTACCCAATGGCTAACATGGGGTTTTCACCCAATAGCTAACATGGGTTTTCACCCAATGGCTAACATGGGGTTTCACCCAATGGCTAACATGGGTTTTTACCCAATGGCTAACATGGGTTTTTACCCAATGGCTAACATGGGTTTTTACCCGATGGCTAACATGGGGTTTCACCCATGGCTAACATGGGTTTTTACCCAATGGCTAACATGGGTTTTTACCCAATGGCTAACATGGGTTTTTACCCGATGGCTAACATGGGGTTTCACCCATGGCTAACATGGGTTTTTACCCAATGGCTAACATGGGTTTTTACCCAATGGCTAACATGGGTTTTTACCCAATGGCTAACATGGGTTTTTACCCAATGGCTAACATGGGTTTTTACCCAATGGCTAACATGGGGTTTTCACCCAATAGCTAACATGGGTTTTCACCCAATGGCTAACATGGGTTTTTACCCAATGGCTAACATGGGTTTTTACCCAATGGCTAACGTGGGGTTTCACCCAATAGCTAACATGGGTTTTTACCCAATAGCTAACATGGGTTTTTATCCAATGGCTAACATGGGTTTTCACCCAATGGCTAACGTGGGTTTTCACCCAATGGCTAACATGGGTTTTTACCCAATGGCTAATGTGGGTTTTTACCCAATGGCTAACATGGGTTTTTACCCAATGGCTAACGTGGGGTTTCACCCAATAGCTAACATGGGTTTTTACCCAATGGCTAACGTGGGGTTTCACCCAATAGCTAACATGGGTTTTTACCCAATGGCTAACATGGGTTTTCACCCAATAGCTAACATGGGTTTTCACCCAATAGCTAACATGGGTTTTCACCCAATGGCTAACATGGGTTTTTACCCAATGGCTAACATGGGTTTTTACCCAATGGCTAACATGGGTTTTTACCCAATGGCTAACATGGGTTTTTACCCAATGGCTAACATGGGTTTTTACCCAATGGCTAACATGGGTTTTTACCCAATGGCTAACATGGGTTTTTACCCAATGGCTAACATGGGTTTTTACCCAATGGCTAACGTGGGGTTTCACCCAATGGCTAACGTGGGGTTTTTACCCAATGGCTAACATGGGTTTTTATCCAATGGCTAACGTGGGTTTTTACCCAATGGCTAACATGGGTTTTTACCCAATTGCTAACATGGGTTTTTACCCAATGGCTAACATGGGGTTTCACCCAATGGCTAACGTGGGGTTTCACCCAATAGCTAACGTGGGTTTTTACCCAATGGCTAACATGGGTTTTCACCAATGGCTAACATGGGTTTTCACCCAATGGCTAACATGGGGTTTTCACCCAATGGCTAACATGGGTTTTCACCCAATGGCTAACATGGGTTTTCACCCAATGGCTAACATGGGTTTTTACCCAATGGCTAACATGGGTTTTTACCCAGTGGCTAACATGGGTTTTTACCCAGTGGCTAACATGGGTTTTTACCCAGTGGCTAACATGGGTTTCCACTCGATGAGTTATCACTTGCATTTCTCTAGTGGTTTTGATCATTCTAATATTGTATACATAGTTATAGATGCACTCGTCACTTGATACTGCTCTTTACTGTGTATATCTGTTTATTTCTTGTATTAACCTTGTTGTAATATCTGTGTTCATGTATTGCAGGCTGGCAGAGATGGCAAGTCACTCGGTGATTGTCCATTTTCACAAAGGATCTTCTTAATATTGTGCTTAAAGAAAGTCAGTTTTAATATCACTACTGTTGATATGAATAAAAAGCCTAAAAGATTCATGGACATATCACCAGGAGGTGAGTAACTATATAAATACAATTGCATGGCAAATGCTACCTATAACATGTTGTATACCAGGGATTTTTTTAAACAAGGGAACACAGGCGCAGCGCCCTCATGCCATGGTCATGCGCCCCCTTACCCTGGGGAGCAGATCCTCTGGCAACCATAAAATTCTGAATGACCAGGGATCACATGTGGCCACAGTCTTCAACTGTGACCTGTCTGATAGTAATCTTGGCCCCAAGGAAGCCATAGAATGCTCCATTTTAACTTAGAATTAGCGGTATCAAAAACTCCACACCCTGTCAGGGAGAACCCCACATCTCCCACTTGGTGGCGCTGCTGAATTGGAGTGCTTCCACTTGCAGTTTTTTTTTTAAAAAAAACCCTGGTATACCATTTAATTTTCACTACTGGGAATTTCACGATTTCAGAATTATTTGGCATTTATGAAAAGACTAAACTAAAGTGGTTCATGTGAAAATGTATGTGAATAGCACATTTCCCGTCAGGCAACGTTCATCTCAGTGGTGTTACATGTATGGCTAATCAATGTAGTATGTTAAAAAGCGGTGGTCATCGCGCAGTGCATGTTCAAATTTCATGTAAATAAACAATGTATTCTACACGCGTTGTGTACCTCGCTATGAGTCCTATATCAAACAGAACACGGCAAGACGACCACCACCCTTTATTTAAGGGGTTAATTATTCAGTGGGTTTTAATTTTGCTTATTTCGCTGACTGGAAAATGCGCTAAATTAATTAAAACACAGTGAATATGTAAAATTGAGCATAGAACACATTATCTATTAAATGATAAAATCGTGAATTCAAAACCCACTGAATATGCCTGAAATTGTAATTTAGGGCAGTTTCTATGCTATAATGCCCTGAAGAGAACCCTACCCACAAAGCTTATAAACTAATTATATGTATATACAGTGTACATTATAAATAAGCATTTTTGTATGGCATAATGTGTTAACATGGAATATGATAATACAAGTTTCAAAACCTTTAGCATGCTCCACTAACTTGTTAGACACCTCAAATCCCTCAGAGATATAAGCTTAATGTTTCAGTGAAGAAGTAAAATTCTTCCTGTGTGTAGTCGTGTGTCATGTTATGAAACATGTGATGGAAGTCTGTGATACTACAGTGCATTGTAGTACAATCGGACAAGATATGATGACTGTGTACTATGATCAGGGGTCCAAATTTAGGCCTGTCCACCTGTCCATAACAGGCTGGGTCAGGTAAATGAATGAATTGCCTATCCCTGTAAACTGGCGAATAGATATCAAATTTTTACTAACTGACCAAACAGTGTAGTCCCAAGTTGCTAATGTCCAAAAAAATTGCTTTTTCAGATTTTCTGAGATTTTATCTTGCTAGGAATAGATACATCATCAATTAGGACACACACTTTTATTTGCCAATCTGTCCAATGGACAGGCAACATTAATTTTAAATTTCACCCCTTATAATGCTTTGTGTTTGTTAGCATAGATCCTATAAAAGATTTCCTTCTGCTCTGTTATCAGTAAACATTCATTTGAAAGGATTTTCTTTGTGAGTAGTTGACTGTATGCAGCCAAAAAGCAACCATAGCCACCTCTATTAAACTACGCTTTGGCTATGGAGCTGACTGTTAAAACAAAAATAAAGATTTTTAGTGATCTGACATCAATGGATAATTGATAATTGACAAGAAACAGTCAGCATTGTAGGCTGTGTCTACATTGGAGGATTTTTGAGAACTTTAGGATAAAATATTGTGGGTCTCACAAGTAGTAATAACAGAGAATATTCACAAACTATCCTGCGCAGTGTGAATCAGTTCAGTTTTTGGCAGCATTGAATTATTCAGACAATGTGGTAACTGTATATGTAATTATACATAAACCATTACTGAGTTCAAAGCATTGTAATGTATTGACAATAAATAAACAGGGTGTGAAATTTACAAAGGTGATTGTATAAATATCCAACCTGAATGACTTTATACCCTTCAGTCCAAAGCGTTTTCTAATTTTTTTTTTACACTTGGAAATTTGGTGCCTTTAGAATAACAGTTCAAGCCATGAAAAACTCACAAAATTGTTAATCTTTTCCAATCCTAATACAGGGCAGGGCGCTCAGGGGTTCTTCTAGAAAAAAAACTGCGAGAGGGAGCACTGCAATTCAGCGACGCCACCAAGTGGGGGAGATAGGGTTCACCCTACCAGGGTGTGGGGGTTTTGATAATTCTAAGTTAAAGTGGAGCATTCTATGGCTTCCTTGGGGCCAAAATTACTATCAAACAGGTCAGACTTTTATGGTTGCCAGAGAATCTGCTCTGCTGGGTAAAAGGGCGCATAGCCGTGGCATGAGGGCGCTGCGCCTCTGTTCCCTTATTTAAATCTCTGGCATTGTTTCTTTCTTATTACCGGTATAACTCAATAATACCTCTAGAAGGTGCTATTCAATAAAATCTGCCTTGCTATTCTTTTTGTACAATCACTTACACTTTAGGTAAGATACCAGTTTTAGTTGATGGTGACAGAGTGTTAACTGATGTCTCAGAAATGGCAGATTATCTAGAACAGACGATTCCTGAACCCAGTCTTAGGTCAACCAATAAGAAAGCTATGTTAGCAGGCATTGACGTATTTCAGAAATTTTCAAGGTGAGCACTTACTAATCGTTAATTACCTTCAAATAATTGCAGACTGACTTTCAAATGCATGGATTGTGCATTCCAACCGGTTTGTGATTTCAAAAACATGGTGTATCAAATCGATTCAAAACCTATTTTTATGTTTAACATTGGTGGGCAGTTTTTCGTTTTGAAATTTATCAATTCAAAAATGCATTACATTTTTTTTCAAATTCAGGTTTATTAAAAATGAAGATCCACAAAAAGACGAAATACTTCGAAAAGGACTGATAAAAGAATTGCTGTCTCTAGATTCTTTTTTGAAGAGTGATAATTCGCCAGGTTGTTTCCTGGACGGTGACACGATGACACAGTTAGATTGTAACATGTTACCAAAGTTACATCACATTAGAGTTGCATCAAAACGTTTCAAGGTATGTGGTGTACATTTAGGGATAGCTATGTGTGTAGGTCTTTGTAAAATGCACAATACTTATAAGTGCACTGCTGGTGCCCTTTCAAGTCATAAATATATTTCTTGCGCCGGGCACTTCCGTGCTGCTGTAAAACATAAAACCTTTCTCAAATATATTTTTCTCTGTGAAAACTTCCCAGCAAAACTATCGCCTGTGTGTGCTCCCTCTTTCCTAGAAAACCCCCTGATGCCGATGCTCTTTTGTTTGTTACGTTTAGCATGATCTTTATGGTATAATCTGTTGTTGTACTAAGATGTTGGCTAAGAAAGCGTCTCACTTGCGCAACCTCTGTGTTTATATATACATCCCTTGAACTCTACAATGCTTGTAAAAACGGTGCCGGGGGATTTTCTTAATTATTCATTTTTTGTCAATCGTGGTCAGTCAGCATATTATCTCAACCAATGTTGTTTCTTTTAATCCTAGTATACATACTGCATCTAAGTTATATTGGAAATTTACCCATTGCATTCAAATTCCATCCCATTATTGCATCTGTAGGAGTTTGATATCCCAGAAGACTTTGAAGGTTTGAGGACATATCTTAATGCGGCATACGCAACAGAGGAATTCAAAGACACACTCTACCCTGATGACGAGGTCGTCCACGGGTGGAACAAACATCTTGGCAGAGTGTAAGACATCTTAAAAAATACGAGTGAGCATCGACAGTGTTTGAGATATTCCTTGTAAATATGTATCGCAATATACATTATTTTGATTATTACCTTTGATTGACAGTATTGTTGACAGCTTTATGTTAATGAAATTGGAATCAGTGCTGAGGGTTGATCCAGGCCAGGATGTGTTGTGAATCGCCCCTATATAGCGTGATAAACAAAAAAGTTGCATCACATCATTTTTACCTGTGAACTTTGAATCCACCTCCATGTTAGTGATGTACAGAATGGGATATCTTGATTAATTGAAATGCCTTGTCAATATCTTCCTCCCAGCCTGCATCCAACCATCTACTGATTCTATTCAGTTTTTTTTTCTCAGATATACTTATAGAAGCCATCCACTGATTCATAGCATTGTTTACTGTAAAATACTTTATTTTTTTTAGCTGGATTTAATTTTTGCGGAAAAGACTTTTTGGGTGTTATATATGGAGTTTATTTTCACTGATTTTTTGATGAGTTGAATGTAATTTATAGCAAAAAAAAGATATGTGCTGAATTTTATTTTAACAATCATCCCTTCAGTGAAAATAAATTCGAAGCAGAAATAAAACATTTAACATGTTTTTAGGACAGTACTTCTTGCTGATATCAAGTATAGTGTAACAGCAGTCTTTATGTATGACCGGTACTTTCCAAGGAACTATCAACTATTTTACATTTAATTTTGAGTATTTAATCAAAAATATGACAATCTGTGTGCTTTATGTAAATTACATGTATATTTAAAGACTGATAATGTATTGATTCTTTGTATGTTACAAGTTAAATTTCATGTCATACTAGGTTAGCTGTATGTAACTGTTAACATAGAGTTTAAATGTGTTGGTTTAGTGGTCATTAGTTTATGTTGTCATATGATTGAAATTTTTATTATGCAAATGAGTTTAGTTTCAAATTTGTTCGTAGTGGAGGCATAATCAAGTGTACATGTAACCTGTATGGTGTGTATAATGCTGATAAATATTCAAGAACGAAGTGATGTGTAATGATCCTGGTAATGATTTCACGACTAAGCACTGTGGTTCACTCGATAGCGTATCTCGTGTGTTTACTATCGCAGAGTTAAGTTTGATGTCAAAACATGGATGCTAAGTGCATTTCAAGTTTTCAGTTCACCTGATAGGATCTGATTACCAACTGTGTGGTTTGTCTGCCCTTATATTTATTTGCCCTTGAATGTTACTTGGATTCACAGCAAGAGAATTAGTTGGTACCATCCATTAGATTTACAGATTTTGTAATAACCAATTAAAACATATTTGGCAGCCTTATGTAGTTATAATGTACAAATGTATGTTGAATGTGGACATCACACCTACCAGAAAGAGTAAATCACCCCTTATCATTCTGAAAATGTTCTTGTTTTATTCAAAGACTGCCAGCAATACATTGACTACCCACCTTTGTCCTTGACTTTGTAATGAACCCAATATATAATCAATGTATATGCTTTGTTATTGACAAAGCAAAATAGTCTCTTAATTAATTTATCATTCTAAAAATAGTTTATAATATTCATAATTCTTCAAAATTTAATGTACTTGTAGGAAAATCTACAACTAAAGTAAGTTTTTTGGGCCAGTAACCCCATGTGATGATATTTTGTTTGTCCTTTGAAAATATTTTATAATAACCCATAATAATCATCACTCTGAAGATGCAGTAATGGTGACAATGGTTACCTTGGTAATCAAAGCATACTCCCAGCAAACCTATTTTATATCATCTTTCTGCTACTAACATGTTTAAAAATTAGTTTGTTCAAATTGCACAGTTTATACACTCTTCTTATATATTTGTTTTGGCAGTTTCCAACTTCAGAATGTATCATATGGCAACACTGAGAATCTATGAAATCAACCCATTGCCAATTTAGCAAATATGTATTGACTATTTACTGCCCACTGCAAGATGCCACATGCATGAAATGGAATGTAAAGACAGAACAAACAACGGTGTTGTGGGATTTGACAAATGCAAAAATATTTATAGGGTATTTCCATGCTTAATTATGTGCTATACACATTTGAAGATCAGTTTTGATGAAGTAATGCTATCCTGATATCATATACCATTCAATGTCAAAACTAGCTTTGACATTGAGCTATTCAAAATCATATCGTTCGAATTTTGTGGCAGACATTCGGCCTAAACTTTTTATGCATTACGCATTAATTGCAGTGAGTAGAAAATCACCTTGAAATGGCAATCATATATCTTATCAATTGTATCTACTTTTGAATATTGATAAAGCATAGCTTTAATAATCAAGGAAAATATGTCGCGTGCGTGCCCATCTATCCACAGCCCACAAGTTCATTGAGGACCATGGATTTAATGCTTTTTATTCCCATAAAATTGAGTTTTATTTAAATAGTATATATTCAACTGAAATAGAATTCTATAGTACCTGTATACATGCATTTTGTTGATTTGCAATTCGTGTAAAGAAATGTTATATAACCTAATATATCAGCTGAACAGATGTCATGACCCAAAGGACTGGTCTTGCGCTTTCAATTGATATTTCTATCAGTATATGTGTATTTACTACCGTGTACTCCAAGCTTTGCTGCACTTGTCATTGCTTGATATATGTCATTACTTGAATAAGAATTTCAGAGCAATAGTCAATTGATTGTATTTAGTGCGTGCGTGCCACCATAGTAGTAACCTTATAATTCATATGTTTTTATGTCAAATCATAGGGCTTCGTTGATTTACAAATCTGCTGAAATGTAACTACTTGAGTGCTTTCACAAAATTAAAGTGAAGAGCGCCACCAACGTGTAATGCTGTTTTTATCTGTATACTGGTAAATGTTCCTTTGTTTTTAGTTTAGATTAGCATGCCAGTTTATGTTTGTATTATAAATTTACTTTTTAGTGTGTGAAAGAAATATTCGTTTTGTGCCAGTTACTTTTCTACCATGTGCAATATTGTCAGTAAATACTGTTTTGATTCTACCTTGTTTTGCAGCGTTGATTGGGCAAGCATCTTTGTTGGTTATCGCTACATCCATTTTTCAGCGAAACAAAAACATCACCTCTTGGGGCAGTTTCCTTCTCGTTTTTTTTAACTATTCGAGGAGGCTTTCAGCGGGCAATGTGATAAGCCTGTGACCAGTCTCGAAGTCTGACTAATCGGATATGTATACTACTGCACATACAAAATGCAATGCCCGCTGCAGTTTCTTATGATTCCTTTGTTGTAGATTTCTAATGCACATGTGTTATAAAACATCTTTACGTAACAGTCTTCATACATGACAAATATTGTAGACTATACAACTGCGTGTGTCTATTTCTTTCACACTATCTAACGTTAGAAAATAACTTTTGTTGAGTTTAATGTTTGTTTTTCTAATGCTTCAACACAAGGTTCTTACCAAAGGAACAGTATTAATTATCCTGAGATTGGCCTAAAAAGAGTTTTTAATGGTCAACACTTGATATGGACAAATAGTTATAGCTGGGAACCACATAGCCAATGTATTGCGTATATACTTTGATCTATGGAATATTGATGCATTACTCGCCAATGTCTTGAAGTACCGGTACCCAGAATTGGATTTTTTGTATTGAAACCTGGTGTTTGTTTTTCATAATCTGCCAAAAAAAAAAAATCCTGTATTTATGTTGATATTTTAATTAATATATATCATATCCGTCACAAATTATTTTAAAAATACTCAATTTAGATAGTTAGGGAAAAACAAATTTTCCTGTAAGAAAATCGAAGAATAATGTATTGAGTTTTAGATATTTGTTAATGTAGATAGTTCAATAAAGAGTTCATAATTTCATGCGTGTGTAATTACTTGCCACCTCTCCCTAAACAAGACTGCATTTATTATGTCCAGATTACCAAAGATACTGGTGACCTGTTTTTTCTTGGCCTATAATCTAGACATTCAGAGTACACTCGAGAATGGTCTGGTGAATTGGCACAGAATTTTGTGCCATCACTGATTGGCTGTCTCGAGCGCAAGGTCAACCACAACTCTCACCGTATTCAAAATATTACTATCATCGACAGCATCTAGTCCTTGTTCTCCTTTTAAATGTCGAAGTCAATTAGCTGGTATTACCGGTAGCTTCAATTTACTAATATACTGGGATTGCATGCAAATTGAAACTTCATTATAATAATGGCTCAAATTTTATGTATTATTTAGCAAGTAAAACTAGATGGAAATGGATGGCCAACATAGCATACGAATAGGTGTTTTTTTTGTTCACTGGGAGATACTGAAAGGCCCTGATCAATCTACCATTGAATGACTCAAATCTTGCATAATATTTTGATTTAATTTCGGGCGGAATCTTGCACTGAAAGAAAAATTGTCTGTTGCATTCCACTCATATTCATTTACATACATTGAAGTTCGAGGTCGCCATTGTACAAAACAGCTAACATTAAACGGGTGATAAGAAATAGCCAAAAACTGGAAAACCATACTTGTTCTACATAGTTTTTACGCAAATGTGAAGACTGTTAATTTGGTCAAAAATTATGAAATAATACTTTGTGTGAAATATGTTGTATCATTCTAGAACTATAAAGACTTTTTGCTGAAAAGCAACTCCCTTGTTTGTTGTCTAAGCGAGTTCTTGAGCAATGAATATAGGATGTATATAAATACCATTATGTAACCAATGACACTATGTATGCAAGAACACTTTCTCTATAGAAGCGTCAACACTAATAACATTTTTTGATATTTCTGATTTATAAGGTGATATACAAAAATAATATATACAAATAAATTACATTACGAAAAATGTAAATCCTAAATCTGGTGAAAATATGAACGGCAAATTTAAATCTGTAATGAGTATTAACAATTTTCTACTTCCATGGCAAAAGCGCCCTCTAGTGTTGATTCATTTTGCTGAGTATTCTCGGGGGCGGACATCCGGGTATTTTCACCACATGGCAACCATCACGGTGAAAACAAAGGCAGAAAACTGTACTTTGGGATGGTTGTTGAGACTCCCTTCAACAGTGTAACAAGATTACCCCTGCATGTGTAACGCATATAAAATTTGATTGTTCAGGATTACTTCAAAGTTGAGTTCCTGTTGTTTTTTAAAATTTTCACCGGCTCGGCGTTCCGCGTTCCTCAGCAACGCATGCAGAGCCCATAAAAATAAGTACAGTGGTGCACGTCTTAGCAACGCGGAACGTCTTGTGACGTAGCATCGCCCGAAGGATACTAGTACCTGTATCTCGAAGAAGGATGTGATCAAAAGGTATCTGTAACAATCGATACAGAGTGGGATAGTCTTAATGTGATATTCTTAGTCAAATTTACAAATTATACAAAGAATTTTGTAGAAGAACTACTCCATCAATCACTCAAGGTCAATGAACTTTGCTTCACTATTTAAACCACTGATCACTCGGTGAATCCAATAAAAGTACCTCACATTAATGTCTTCTTGGTAATAAGATACAGAATTGCAGCTGAAGATGGCACACTGCAGTAGTTACTTTCACTGAATGAAATTAACAATCCATAAAACAGAGGCTACTGTATTTGCATTCAGGGGGGGTAGGGCTGTCCATCACTCGTATATATCCAAAAAGAGCACACTTGTAGTAAGATTACAGTCCTTAGCGTTATACCCAGGTTACTTGCCTTTCTCCTTGAAATAATCAGCTGAAATGAAGTATATATAGTATTATAACATGAATAATGTCATACATGAGAATTGATGTATAAATGTGTATCAATACACACTTTCCAAAATAGCCTCACGGCAGGTCGCATACTATAGACTCAGAATGAAAAGTATGTAAAGATATATTACCTCATTGCTAACCCAATTTTGCATAATACCATAATTTATTGTTTTTACCATATTTTGCATATCACTATTACCACTTACTGTAAAATACTTTATTTTAGCTGGATTTAATTTTCACTGAAAAACCTTTTTGGATGTTTTGTAGGGAATTTATTTTCACTGATTTCTGACCAGTTGAATGTAAAATATAGGAAAAAAGGTATATTCGCTGGATTTTATTTTCGCTGAATCATTCCTTCAGTGAAAATTAATTCCAAGCGAAAATAAAGTATTTTACAATACCCAATTTTGCATAATTGTCCATAATTAATCATTATTACTAATTTCTGCATATTATTACAATTATTTCTTGCCCAATTTCGCGTACTATCACCGTAATTATTTTTTTCTATTGGTGCATATTATTATCATAATTAATCATTCCTTACCTAACTTTTCTACTGCTTCCACACAAACACTAGGATACATGTTCTCATTATAAGTTCCCATTATGAGTAATGTTATTGTTTTCACCATGACAACACCAATTTTATCCTGAGAAAAATAAAAACATGAAAATGCAGTACAATTAAGAAGAGCATTCAGACTGATATATGCAGTGATTTTGGAAAACTTGGTTTGTATTTCGACTTTGTGTTGACGGAAGTGGAAATACTGTATGACTTGCAAAACTGTGACTGTAATTTGATAAATAATCTGTATTAAAAGCTGCGGAGGGGATCTAAACATATGAGAAATGGTGAATTTTTGGTTCTCAATTATTTAAAAAGAATGGTTGCGGCTTCTAATACAGATTTTACTGTACTGTTAAATACTTATTTTTGCTGGAATTAATTTTTGGTGTTTTGTATGAAGTTTATTTTCACTGATTTTGATGAGTCAAATGTAAAACATAGCAAAAAAGGTTGTTCGCTGTACATGTATTTTAATTTCACTGAATCAATCCTTCAGCAAAAATAAAGTATTTTATATATATATATTTCAAAAAACCCTCAAAATATTTTTCCTTTCGAAAATTATGTGTAATTGGTCCAACGATAACAAAAGAAATTCATATTTGAAGATTGTATCAATTTGAAAGTAAAAAAAAATCAATGAGAAATATGAAAACTTGGAAGGATCACTGGTTGAGAAATGTTATAAACTGATAATTACTTACACATTTGGCATATATGGAATTTTTATCAGCTCTGACACATTTATAATTATTGTTATCAAAATAGATTCCTTCTTCTCTGGTCCTTGGTGGATCTTTGAAAGCATCAATAAACTTTTGAATCTGCTCAGAATTCAACTGAAAAAAAAAAAATATTTCGACTTAGTCTTGGAATCTACTCAAGCGCTTTAATGTGTTCATTTTAGTGAAAAATGATATTTTCAATTTCTTCTTGAAAATTGCTTTGATACTTGAGGTTAGCATAATTTTTTTGAACATTTTGTTTGATGAAGTCACACTGACATCACTCTGACATCACTCTGACATCACTCTGACATCACTCTGACATCACTCTAACATCACTCTGACATCACGCATGATCTCAACAGCCTGTCCCAAACTGTTTTTTGTGTGGGTTAACCACATTTTGTCCTATGGGTGTGTGTTGCTTGACTTGGCTGACACAACAATCTTGTGCGACAATGGACTGTTTGGTCACTTGTTTTGCATATTAAGTCATACAAAAAGTTTAACAAAATAAAAGGAAAACATTTTTTTTTTAATTCTGCTCAACGTATCATTGGCTAGAAATATTTTTTTTTGCTTTTTAGCTAATCGTTACTTATCATTTGAAATTGACATGGAATGTAATTATACATTGTTTCTAAATTGTTTGTAAACATTTCTATTAGTAGATTCACCTGCATTCAAGCACTGTACTTTGCTTAATAAATGATCAAAGAATCTATAGACTTACATTGAACCCAACAGAACTAGCTCTCAGACTTGAGTCTTTCCTCCGTATAATAGCACACTGCTTAACGTGTTCAGTTGATATCAATGCATCATGCAACAAGTTCTGTAATTGGTTCATTTTTACACGATCCTGAAAACAATAGAAAATATGTGAATATAAATACAACATTCAATTCACATAAAGCACCATGTCCTAGCCTTTGAATAGGGGTTTTATCACTGGGCACTGTCCTTAGATTAACCTTAGTTGTAAGTGTATACTGTGATACTACCCATCATTCAATTCCCCAGTTGTTTATTTGTTTTCCAATCTTATTAAATTCTTCATAGAATTTTTTTTCCATATTTTTAGGCATAGCTAATCATATAAATAATTTACTGTAAAACACCTTGTAATTGGATATATAGCAAACTCGCATATATTAATACCGATGGTTACCTGAAAATTTGTTTCTGGAGTGTTTTGCATGCAAAATTAATGAGATATGGCCCACAATGTTGTTTTTTCACATGATCTAAAAACCTGAAGGTATTTATTATATTTGGAATTCACAATTTTTATTGGACGTTTATGAAACTTGCATGCTGTTTGTATCTACAATAAATATACCTAAATGACCTATTAAAATTTAAGTTTAGTGAAGTCATTTGGTTATATTTATGTCAACCAGCTTGTAGTTAATATTTATTAACAAACAGCTGCTCATTGATTAGCACTGGTTCATGTGACATCCTTTTATTTTATTAATATTTTTTTTTTTTTAACAGAAACACATACAGATAGAATAGAATATTTCATTTCACTCAAAATAACGGTAAGAAATTGATAAATTTATGGCTAAAAAAGAAAAGAAGATAAAACACTGTTACAGATGACTTAATAAATAAAACAAGAAAACATTCAACATGTATTTAATGAAATCGGTTAACAATGCAATTATTTTATCTGAGAATGTGAACGACCAGGTCTTGCCAACCGAATCTCCTATGAGAGAAAGTTGTAAGGCAAATGGGTACATGTTGTTAGTTTAATACAATAGCATCTTTGATGACATCAAAATGTTTTGTTACAAATTGTTACGAATTAGAATTAGCAGTAGCTTTCTACTAAGAGAAAGTTTGAGTTTGTATAGTAGAAACCTATGTGATTATTAAAGAGTAGTCATGAGGATGACATTTTGTGGGTTTACACTGACTCCCACAGAAACATTCAATCCTAGCAAATCTTGAGACCTCTTGTGAGTCCCAGAATTCATCTCTCATGATAATGAAAGTTTGTTATAAGAAATAAAGTAATTCTTCAATGCAAAGAATCTTTTCATTCGCGATGTGCCAAAAAATGCAATTAAGAATAACATTTGTATTACAAGCACATGATTGCGACCCCAAAACATTGCCTGCTTCGAACACAGTATTGCCATGGTTACGACAGTAGCAATTAGTCTTAGCATACAACGGGTACTGGGTATGAAAAAAAGACGTATTACTTCTGGTCTACTGAATCCAAGTCAGATACCTATATGGAGACAGGTCTTTTCATTTCCTCTCACCATCTAATAAACAACACCAGTCCTTTGTAAAGAGGTACTATATAAAAAGGGTGGAGAGTTCATTAAGGGTCAATGCAAAGTTCTATTTATTTATCTCTATGAGTCAAGTCACTGAACACATTAGCGGTGATTTCAGTGGAAGCCATGGAAACACTTTTAAATAGCTGCATGGCATTTTCCTACCAAATTTAACTCTTCGCTCGAGTTCGAAAAATCTACAAACATAACCGACGAGTTATGAATCTCAGTGGGAGAATAGACATGTTGCTGAAAACGCTTTTGAAATAAATAACAAAAATAAATTTACTATGTCAAACCATAGTGTCTTTGGTCAAAACTGATTAATAAATATTACACACACTAGTTAATTATTCAAATGGTGTATTCTCATTGGTTGATTAATACCACATGGCCTGAACCCAGTTATCATGAGGTTAATGAATTAAAAATATATTTATGTTTTTTTATGTGTATGGATTATATTCAAATCAAATCAAATCAAATCAATAAATATGTTTTTGTATGTGAACATTCATAATGAAAATACAAGTGTCTTTGAAATGCACTAACAAAACATTTTGATTTCTTGCTTATCAAGCAATTATCAGTTCACATGTATTCCACTTTTTCATAATAGAAATAAAAGACTGCATTGTATATTGTTGTGTGATAACAGGTTTTGGATGAGAATGTTTGTTTAAATAATTAGCATCGTCTGATTGCACGGTTGAGGCAGTAAGCTGGAAAATTATACATGTACTATTGGTACAAAGTGCGAGATTGGAGCAAAAATGTAATGTAAGTGTGAGAAATATAATGTAGTATGTGTGAGAAATATAATGTAGTAAATGTGAGATATATAATGTAGTAAGTGTGAGATATATAATGTAGGTAGTATGTGTGAGATATATAATGTAGTATGTGTGAGATATATAATGTAGTATGTGTGAGAAATATAATGTAGTATGTGTGAGAAATATAATGTAGTAAATGTGAAAAAAAATAATGTAGGTAGTAAGTGTGAGAAATATAATGTAGGTAGTAAGTGTGAGAAATATAGTGTAGTAAGTGTGAGAAATATAGTGTAGTAAATGTGAGATATATAATGTAGTATGTGTGAGAAATATAATGTAGTATGTGTGAGAAATATAATGTAGTAAATGTGGAAAAAAAATAATGTATGTGTGAAAAATATAATGTAGGTAGTAAGTATGAGAAATATAATGTAGGTAGTAAGTGTGAGAAATATAGTGTAGTAAGTGTGAGAAATATAGTGTAGTAAATGTGAGATATATAATGTAGTATGTGTGAGAAATATAATGTAGTAAGTGTGAGAAATATAATGTAGGTAGTAAGTGTGAGAAATATAATGTAGTAAGTGTGAGAAATATAGTGTAGTAAGTGTGAGAAATATAATGTAGTAAGTGTGAGAAATATAATGTAGTAAGTGTGAGAAATATAGTGTAGTAAGTGTGAGAAATATAGTGTAGTAAATGTGAGATATATAATGTAGTATGTGTGAGAAATGTAGTAAGTGTGAGAAATATAATGTGGGTAGTATGTGTGAGAAATATAATGTAGGTAGTATGTGTGAGAAATATAGTGTAGTAAATGTGAGATATATAATGTAGTATGTGTGAGAAATATAATGCAGGTAGTAAGTGTGAGAAATATAGTGTAGTAAATGTGAGATATATAATGTAGTATGTGTGAGATATATAATGTAATATGTGTGAGAAATATAATGTAGTAAATGTGAGAAATATAATGTAGTAAATGTGAGAAATATAATGTAGTAAGTGTGAGAAATATAACTATATAACATTTTTGAGAAGAGACAGAATAATTGGATTGTTAAGGACACTGGTTTTTAAGTTCACAAACTTTGCAGGAAAAACAATGAGTTCTATTGTTATTCTATATGTGAATTTAATTTAGCCAATTTTAATTATCAACAAAAATAGTGAAATTAAAAACCAGTGATTAATTAATCTGTTTACAATTACAGCAGCCATAAATGAGATTCATATGCATAATCATCAACTTCCCTTGGAAAGTCCCTATCAATGTTCCAATAACCACACCAACTTTCCCACACGGTTGAAGTGACCGCTAATAAGATTCGTATGGATAATTTACAACTTCCTTTGTATGTTGCAATATCCCTAATAATCAAAACAAAATTGACAGCCGGCTGTCTGAGGGTTGACCTATTTCATTCCATCAGGGGAAGTGAGATTGTTACAAAATGCAGTAAATCATTTTCATAATATTAGATCATTTAATAGCACCAATAAGAGAGTCCCTCTCTATATTGCAATGTTCATAGGGAGTTTGCTAATTTCCTGTATGAATCTTGTTTGCACTCGCTGTAAAATAGAGAACAAACCAACAAACAAAATGAGGTCACCACAATCTTTTGATAATACATAGAAAATGGCAAAAAATTAGCATTTTTCTTTGCTTTGGCCTAAGTTACTTTGACGAAAATATTTTCTTGAAATTTTGCTTGGTGAAAAAGTCATATATTGTTATTAATCTCAATTCTAATAATTTTCATTAAATAACAAATAATGTGACATTCTATAAATATCATAGAGTATATCATTCAATTCAGAGTTTTCATTAGAAGCCGGCAACCAGCGAAATCTCCGTCTGTCGCTGTCATTTCTCCGGCTGTTTTAATAAAATAAACTTGACTAAATGAACCATTAAATGATATACTTGACATCCAAAACAGTTTTAATTGACATAGTAAAAGGAAGACATTGTTTTTATTTAAAAAAGTCTGATTAAAATGTTTACTTTCCTGGAAATATTTGAGAATCACATTTTGCTTGAGAAAGTGCATCAGAATGCCCCTCAAAGCACTCGAAAACCCAAAAACAATTACCGGCGAGTATTCTCCCTCTGCGGGCTTTCTCCCTGTGATAGGCCTGTGGCCTACATTTGTTCCCCTGTTATTTTTCAAAATTCTCCTTCTATTTCAAATCTTAGTGAAAACCCTGCAATTTTACTATAACATAGAGGTCTCTAACAGACTCCATTGCAGATCTACTCAGTAGAATATGAATTTGGTTTCAATAAACACATTATGGTGTAGTGTAATTTGACTATCTTTATAATGCTTGCTTGTGACAATCTAAGCAGCAGTAATGCTTTGTATATAGCATTGAATGAACATAAAATAAAGAGCATATTTTATGTTACTGTAGAATACTTTATTTTTTGCTTGGAATTAATTTTCGCTATTCTGTTTTCCTATTTTACATTCAACTCACCAAAAATCAGTGAAAATACACTCCATACAAAACAACCAGTAAAAATTAATTCCAGCTAAAATAAAGTATTTTACAGTAATTCATTATCAGACATGCTAACAATAATAGTTTGAGTGTTTTGTTGACATGCAGAAAAACAGACGTAAAATATGACAATAAATGTAATAACTCGTTACTAGCGTAGAAGGTAATCTGATAATTGCATAGCAATGTAATCAGTATCCATAGCGATGAATTTGAAGCTGTATTCTATTATCCATTCAGCTTTTGCTGTTTATAGCTAAATACCCATCATTCATTGCAACATGACCTAAATATGAAATATAAAGATGAATCACGTTTTTTTTTCTATAGAGTGGAGTTCTATAGGGCATCAACACGTAGCTTTCACTGTGACAAAGAAGTCACAGTGACACATACTTGCCAATAAGCTGAAAAAATGATTTTAAAATAAAAAGTTCAATCATAAAAAATGAGAAAAAGCTCTTACAACATAAATTAATTTAAAAAAAAAATACTGAACAAAACTAACTATGTTATATATATATGTATTATAGGATGTACATTTCTACGGAACACATGATAGATATGTTATATTTTTAATGTACATTTCAATGAAGAAATAATACATTGAATCCAATTCCTTTTAGATTACAAGTATAGTGGAATAGCTCATCTATACATTGAAAGTGGTGTTACCGTGTAAGAACCTTTCACGTATCGCTTGCGATCAATCACTGGTTCGTCATCTTCCTCCATCATATTCATCATCATCATCATTGCGAATTAGAATACAAAATCCACACGTGTTCAAGAAACCCTCAAAAACGAATGTGGAGACTCGTAACTGACGTGCTACAGAGTACAAACTGACACCCTGACTTTCCAGTCAGCCGTATCGGAGGTTACTACGCATCCAGCTCAATAAACAAGATAGCTTTCTATTGGGTTACTATCACGGCTTAGCATAGCCACAACTCAATTATATATCTTTCTGTTTGTTTGCTTGACTCTGATGGGAACAATAACAGGTGTGCGTAATAGGTTGTATAGAGAACAATTCAGCTACATTAACTATGCAGATTAGAACCAATCATTTTGTAGGATACCTATCATGTACACAATAGGGTAAGACAATTCAAAAAGACGACATCAATAAAGATCATGCACATAGATTTCCAGTATCAGGCTAGTGAGTAATGAGGCACCTAAAACCTGACCTATTGACCTTAATAGTCTCTAGTAGACAATATTACCAGCGTCAACGTTTCAATGAGTAGACTGTACATAGGATAAACTTGTATGTGCCGTTATTGTGCAGTTGGTTCTGTTTTATTGCCTAGTCAAATTTCTTTTATTAAATTGGTTTTACGAGAAAGGAAGTTTGAGATTAAAAAACGGCACTCTCATCACCAAGTGAATGAGTTGGATGAAAAATATTTGAAGAGTCTTAGTAAATGTTATGGCAATCGACAAGTCTTTGTATTATTTACAAGATGACTACCCTCCGAAAAAAAAATGGTTTGTTCTTCACAACCATTGTGGGTGACAATAGGCACAGGTGGGCTACAACCATTATAAAAAGGTAGGTAGGATACAGTTAAATAGAAATGCCATGCTGATCTCCCAAGTCATGATGATCATTTAAATATCCTGATTTAAAAAAAAATTGCCCTAGGTTGTCCTTGTAAACAGTGAACAAACTGACAAGTAGTGACAATGGTTTGGTGTATTCAATTGAACAAGGTGAAATTTCTTTTGTTCAGAACAAGATAAAGGGGCGGCCGTAAATCCTTCTGTGCAATGAATGGGTGTGATAATTATTAGTTCTTTTATTTGAGGGTCGATGGCATCTCTAAAAAATTGTGTGTGCTTTCATGATGCAATTAGTTCACAATGTAATTTTGAAACTTAATCTGCCTCAAGACAACCCATCACATCTTGTGTCCACTTAAGAACTGTATGCCATTGAAGCAACTAGGAGACATTCCAAATACCAAGCATAACAGCCCTTCAAGTACTAATGAAGAATACAATGACAAACAAAACTATTCAATATTAACAGAACAATCCTACTTCTCAATTCCCATGTTTGTTATATACATCCTGTATTACAAGAAAATATTAATAACTGTAATTTCAAAAATGATGGAACATAAATGAAGCTGTGAGACACTGGTACATGTATTAAAAACAAAAGATTTGTTTATACATTGAGTGAGGGCGCTTTATAACCACCTGTTCATAGATGATAGCCTGTCACAGTGAGGGTAATCAAATTGAATTCGGAGCATGGGTAGCGATGCTCAAACATGGCTTTTTAAAAAACCTCTAAATGTGAACATACATGTGCAAATGACATTGAGTTCCTGCTAGACCAAAGAACAAAGTGTTTGTTTTTGAGCATTGAGTTGCAAGTTCAAACCCAATCAGTGGCCCTGCTGTCATTTAAAAAATTCATGATTTTGTAGCTAGATGACTCGTCAGGCTGCAATATCTGGGTATTGCACTGATAAGGATAAAATCATACACATAATATCCCCCTGAGAACAGAATAGTATTGAAAGACGATTCACCCCGTTCATTGTGCGGTGGGTAAACCAGGAAGATTCACAAAATAAATTAAGACATAGAAATCATAAAATCACCATTTTTGCATTAATCTTTTAATATTTTAGAAACAATAAACCAATATTTTTTTATTATTTTATTTTTGATAACACTGAACATCATATGTGCATAGATATGACTATCTGTTTGAAAACCATGCATAATACACACTGCATTTTTGTGATTTCAAATTCAAGTGCCTCTTTCAGGATTATGAATATTAAAACATCTCATATATGTTGTAGAATGATTTCAAACACGAGCAATAAATAGTGCACATGTTTTAGTGTATTTTATTTTATTTTATTTTATATATTTATTTTACTTTTACTATTTTTTTAAAACTATTTTCTTGTTGGCTTTTACAATTAACAAAACTATAAAAAAAAGCCAAAACTAGGATCTTATTTTATAATCAGATTGACCACACTCATGTAGTTAAAAAAAAGTAAAACAATGCTCTTATCAATGCTATTAACATGGTGGTGGTGGTGGTGGGTGTGTGTGTGTGTGTGTGGGGGGGGGGGGTGTGGGGGGCTGGTTGACATTTTTGTTGTTACAAATTATCCACCCCAATGGTATGTGAATGTTTGTCAAATACCTCCTAGTAGTGGTGGCATGTAATTTAAAGCTAGTGGGTGCTGTTAAATTACCCCACATACAGGAACATCAGTGGTATTCAAAATCTTTAGTGTAAAGTAGTTTTTGTAGTCAATTCCCTTGCTGGGTGGCCTAAAATTCATATATATGCTATTTTCATATATATGCTAACTTCCTTTGGTGGCTTATCTGCACCTCTCAACATACTAGTCTACACTTATCAGTATTTTTGCCCTTGAACACCAAGGTCACCATTAGCTGAAATAAAACTGCATAACTGTTTACACATTCTTTCAAAAATGTTGATTACAAATATACAACATTTTAGCAGAAAGAATTAAGGCATTTTTCAAAATTAATTGCAAATTAAATATCAAAGTATTTGCCTGCAAAAATGTGACTGTCTTTTGTAACAAATTGTAGGAGTCATACTAAAGAGAAGACAAAGCAAGAGACAATACAACAAAACAATGTGTATATACTATGGTTTGAGGATACTGAACTAATTACTAGTATATTGAAAAAAACAAAAGATGTATTCAAAATGATGTTAGAGGGCACTATTTGGTTGAGTAATTCACTGGTAGGTTTTTCAGTAGTTCAACATAGAGGGCAATCAAACATTGGTCTGTAATGAAGTGTAAAGGTGCATCCAGGATCAGGTTAATTTAAGTGGGTTAAAAATCAAATCAAGTGTTTATAAATACAGTTTAAAGAGTTCTAATTTTTTAATTAAATTAACTTTAAACTTTTTTAGTGTACGTATACCGAAGGGGGGCAAGGAGGGTAGCTGGTACAGATAATAGGAAATAAAAAAAGGCATTTTAAGTTTTTACAGGAAATTTACATTAAAAAATAGGTTTTTAGCAAATTCCTAATTACATTTTACACTTTAGATATATTTGATAATTTGTGTTTAAGAATCAAAATTGGAAATTGTGACGTACGAATTGTGACATTTAACGTGGTAAATGCTTCATACTCTCACAAAAAAATAAGATCTTTGTACAAATTACTGAAGATAGCTGATTACATTTTACACCTTGCCCATGTCTACGAATTTACGTTTTTTTATCTATTTACATTACATTATTATGAAAATAAAAACAATTGATTACAGCTTACAAGAATACCCCTTGCTGACCCTCTATGCCATATTATACTTGTCTACTGCACATGTCATGTTGGGATACAACTTACTAAACTTTTATTTACATTATTTTATTATACATCTAGCACATATAGCAGTTCTAGGCATCACACATCAAGCTGACAAATAGGGAAGATGTATAATGATAATAATGTTATTATGAAAAAATGAGACAAGAATGCAGTCACATCAATACTCTCGCTCTATACTTTGTGGCATTCTCATAATCTTTTCAAATTATTACAACCAAAACCAAGTAAATGTGGACCTTCAGTTGCAAGACACAACAAAATAAACTCAGCCAGTTATACATTTTGAGAATAAAATAAACACAATCAAAATCGCTGAACAAACATGTCTGAAATAAATAGCACGTTGTGACACAAAGTCTTGCTTGCCCCTCACTCGTACCTTTTTTTATCCTCAAAATGTATCACTGGCTGCAATTATTTTTTCATATCTCGCAAGAGAAGGTCCTTGCTGACTGTGCTTTGGCTGTATTTCCATATTGCAATATACATGTATGGAACTAAACATGTAGGATGCAGTTTTCTAAAATAAATAAATAAATAAATAAATAAATAAATAAATAAATAAATAAATAAATAGTTTATTCAAGTACATAGGCCACCGGCCTTTAAGTACAAATCAGATATAAAGTATATATTTACACATATTGTGAAAGCCAAACTCAAGATTTCACATAGAAATTACACATATGTCTCAAAACCTTGAGTGACGTAATGTAGAAGACCTCTAAGCTGACATGTATATTTGACAGCAATACTCTCAGACAAGCTGTTATGCATGACTGAACACAGTAAATAGCATGAAACTTAAAAGAGCGTAGCATGTGATGCAAAGAAAATAAATCATTCTATCTCATGACATCAAGGATAATAAACAACCCACAACAAGTACAAACATTTGTCTATGTTATGCTTTATATAATTATTATAACTTTCAGAAATTATTTACACTGCATTAACCGATTTCTTATTTGCCCTAATTATTCAGAATTTTTTTCTCACATTCTTCAATATTTCTGGTAAATAAAGCCTAATTTTTGTCCCAATCTTCTGAAGGAAAGTGCAGACTATAAATGAGACTATTTTGTGAATTTGTGAAGAAAAGGCGGAAGTGGTGGTAAAAAGGTAAAAATGTGTGATATATTGCTGTTCATCATTACTGATATGGCATCATCATCACTGATATGGCATCATCGTAACTGATATGGCATCATCGTCACTGATATGACGTCATCGTCACTGATATGGCGTCATCGTCACTGATATGGCGTCATTGTCACTGATATGGCGTCATCGTCACTGATATGGCGTCATCGTCACTGATATGGCGTCATCGTCACTGATATGGCATCATCGTCACGGATATGGCATCATCGTCACTGATATGGCGTCATCGTCACTGATATGGCATCATCGTCACGGATATGGCATCATCGTCACTGATATTGCATCATCGTCACTGATATGGCGTCATCATCACTGATATGGCGTCATCGTC